GGTGCCCGTTCCCGGGACGGTGCTGCGGGGCCCCGCCGAGGCCTTGGCTGCTCCTGCCTCCTGAAGAGGGAGGAAAACCCGCCCTGCTCGCCGCCGAGACCGAGTCCGAAAGCGTTTCTGCTCACGAGCGTTATGCTAATTTTTATTGTCATCGTCTTCGGAGAGAAACGTACCTCAGCGTGCGCTCCCGCTGCCAGGCGGCCAGCGGTGTCCGGTTTATTCTAAGGGTCGCGGCCTCGGCCTTGCCCTGCAGCCGTCTGCCCTGCGCGGGGGCGCCTGCGGGGTCACCTGTGCTGCCATGGGGCTAGACTATTGCCTGCGGAAAGCGAGAGGTGACATGGTATTGCTGTTCCGCAAGTTCAGTGAATACTAAACTTCTGCTACCGCCATCCAGTTTTTAATGTAGGAATAAAGTTGCTTATTCTAATAACGATTCAGCTGGGGATCTGTACTACACATGGAAGCAGTTGATGTCAGTAAATCTCCTACTTGCAGCGGGAGAATGGTAAACCTGCTGGCTTTGGCTGGAAGAGCTTTTTGTATCGTGTAATCTGTAAGGGGGTTTTTCATATCAGGTCCATTGTCTTCCTTCTTTATTTTTCTTAGCCTGATTCACTCAGTAATCTATGTGGGTCATGTACTGCTTTTTGCTGCTTTTTTTTTTTTTTTTCAACTGGAGACACTTAGCGAATACTTAGCAATGTCCTGGGGATTTATTTGCTTATAGAGGAATTCACAAAAGCACTGTTACATACTACTAAAAACAATGGTTAATTCTGTGCAAGCATCTGTATTTTACTGACATTAAAGTATTTTAAATTACTCTTTTGGTTAAAAGTAGTTTTCCCTGTAAGGGGTTCTTTTGTCACTGAGAACCTTGAATTTGACTTAAAGTCAGGATGAGGTTCTAAGGTCTCATTTGCTTTAGAACATTAGCATTCATGTTAAATTTTTGTTGTATACTAATTTTTGTTGTTTCAAACCAGAATAAGTACCTTTGCAATGTCGTGTTTGTTTAGGAGAAAAATAAGTATGTTTTTTAAAGTCTTCTGGATAAATGTACTTTTTACTTCCAGAGTATGAAGCAGAACAGCCACAATTTCCAGATGTTCATGGATCAAAACATGGATCTGTGAGTATCATTCAAGTAAAAAATCTTCATAGGGCTGGTTTTAAATTATTTTAAATAAATAAATGGGCAAATTAGGTTCCCACAGAGTAGACTCACTCATAAAATGAAAACAAAATTGCATTTTGCAAACAACTTTCGTGAATCAACAAATGCAATATTCCAAATCATTGCTTTTATTTAAAGCAACTTGGTTAGTGATATCCTAAAATTAGATTACCAGCTGTGTTTGATTTGTACATCTCGCTGTCTTTTTTTCTGTGACTGTCTGCTTCATAGACAGGCCTCTGAAGTGTGCAAGGATCCCCTTTGGGTGGTGTTGAGAGCAGAGTGAGCACTGAAATACACAGGAGAGGGGAGCAAGCACAGCAAAGGAGTTATGCCTCAATTTCACATATGTGATAGGTCACTTAGATGTGGTGATTGACATTAGTAGAACTAAACCTGATCAAAGTCGTTTGAAGTCTAATTTAGACCAAATAAATTCAGCCTAGGTGATTGACATTAGTGGAACTAAAGCTGATCAAGGTTGTTTGAAGTCTAATTTTGACCAAATAAATTCAGCCTAGGAAGAGTTATTTGGCAGACCCAAAAGAAAGACAAACCACTTTAAATCTTTGTCCCCAGCAGTTCTAGGAGCAGCAAAATTAATTCTTTTGGGCATCACATACAGAATTAACTTTTATTTAAATTAGGCATTTTTGTAGATGTTTTAGCTTACTATTCTGTATTTAGGTTACTTTGTTATTTTAAAACTACTTTAAGACATTGTAATTTAAATTGCGTGACAGTTGGTCTGCTTAGACATACCCTGTTTCCCCAGATGAAACTGGCTCCATTACAGGCTGTTATTAAATTTGAGTAGTGAACTCTGCCTGGGGCATTAGTCCACGGATAATATATTGATAATTTGAGCATCTGAATAAAATCGTATACCTTTTTATGTTGATGCACTTTCTTTTAATTTCCAAAAGGATCATTTTTTCATCTTGCATATGTTAAAAAGCAGTCTGTCTGCAGCCATTGACATGCAGTGTATTAGAAGTGTAGTGGCCTGATCCCACCAGCTGCTTTTCAGTAGCTCATAAACTGAATTTTAAAGTGAAACTGTTTAGAAGACATAGTTTTCATAACATGTTTTCATAGCAAACTGCAATGGTGGTGCGTTCTTGGGGATAAAAGGGTGTATCTGCCTTTCTGTAACAGGTGTTGCTCAGTGTCTGTTGGAGTATTCTTCTTGGCTCAGTGTAACAGTTCCTTCACTTCTAAAAACCATACATAAAATTGTAGACTGTCTTTCTCATGGTATCCATAATTGTTTCTGTATGCAGAAACTTAAGATTTGGATTTGCATCTGCTCTGAATTTGTCTGTGTTTTGTTTAGAAGGAAAATTTCTTTTCTTTAGAAGCTGAGTGTCAGGACTTCTGAGCAATACAGAAACAAATATATAAGCTTCTGAGTGGAAAAATAGTTAGAAAATGTTGCCAATTTTAATTTTTAAAGAGTTACTGTTTCTTAAAATGGCTAAAATATTTTAAAAACATTTTAAAATTATTTTTTAAACTGTGATAGCTTACTGTATTCTCTTAAAAGCTATCATATACCTTCTGTTAGGTTTGGATGTTTTTTATTGTGCTGGAAACTGCAGAATTTTTTAAAGTGCAATTTTTTTTTTTTAAGTACTCAGAAAATACTGAAATAATTTAATATTTGAATTAGAAACTATAATTCCATATTTTTTTAACTGACCTGGTAATTTTTCCTGTTGAATTGGTCATATATTTTTACAGTCTGATTGGGGTATTTATATAGGTTACATTTATCTTGAACAGGTGTCTTTGGAAGCAGGAATATTGCAGCCATCATGTATGAAACAATCTTATTCAGCTGATACTGTTGTCCAACAGTCACTTTCCATACCTGAGGCAGGCCCCTTCCCAGAACCACCTGATCCAAAAACATGTAAGTAGGGTATACTATCTTGAACTCTGCTGTGATTATTTTTCTTGCATTTGGCAAGGGTTTGTAATTTCTTGACTTTAAAGTGTTAACAGCTACAACACCTTTCCTTAAGTTGAATTTGCACGATTAGTCCTCTGGTGAGTAAACAGGGAGCCAGCTTGGCCACTTGGTCAACAGGAGAAAGCTCAGATGGTGCATTACAAATCAGTAGCATTGTCTAGCTGTTAAGGTAGTTTGGTTCTCTTCTGAATGACTTTTTATTTAGGCACTTAGAGAAAGGCAAGCATTTCTTGCTCTAATTTAATAGTGCAAAACTAGGATCAATAGACTAAATAGACAATTGAGTTTGAAAACTGTGTTCAAAATATTATCTTTTCCCAGCTGATTGGAAAAAGAATGGAAACAGCTCTAAAGTTTTGTCCTTCCATTTTTATAAATTTCTATATGTTACAAAATTTACCAAGTAGCATTGTATTTTTATTATGCATTTTAGTCCTCCTTTTTGTCTTCTCTTCCATTCATTCTTGTTCATTAGGAATTCTTGTTGCTGGTCAGAAGTAGTGTTACCTTTGGCTTTTACATACATACATATATATATATATATATATGGTGTCCTTTCAATTATGAACATTTTTTTGGCAGTATAGGAACCAATTAAAGGTACAAAGCAGACAATAAATTCAGTGTTTCAGCTGTGTTGCCAAAAGAGAACACTTCTATGACATAATCTTTACTGACCACACCAAAACCTGAGTACTTACTGAATGGCAGACAGTCTGGCTTTAAGTCAAGGACAGCACTTCAGCCTATAAGCCACCCCTGCTTGACTAGAATCCTAAAAGGTTTGCTTTTGTTCACCTCTCTGAGGGTTATGCTCTTATACCTTCATACTGGGTCATGTTCCTTGTTCCTACTGGCCTGCTGAAGTTGAGTTCCTCCATGTGCCCTGTCTTCATCAGAAGGGGTAAAAGGCTCCTCCACTTCACCCAGTTTATAAGCTGATGGTGAAAGGTCCCATTAGGAGAAGATGGAGATGTGAGGAAAAGTTGAGAAGGAAACAGAGCTTGAGTCTCTCAGTTGAGCCAGTATGTAGCCATTGGGGTGTATGTAGAGCACGGGCAATAGAACTGCTGTTTTTTTGGTGATGCTGACTGCAGCTGCTTTCTTCTGCTTGGAACTCAGTGATGCCAATGTGTGTGAGCACATGGGAGGTATGGTAAGTAGACTTCATGTGAGGGCAGTGCAGTCAAACATCAGAGAGAGATGCCAACCCAGTCTCCCAGGGTGGAAAAATTGGTTAGACAGAGTCACGTTCAAATTTCTGAAGGATCTGGCAAGCAGGAGGTAATTATAAGAAAGAAATCACAGCACCACTGAAATACAACCTTTGTATTTTCCTCTGTCTAGAAATTCAGTTTTATGACCAACCCTGTTACCGAGATTGTAAAGGGATGAATATAGATACCAAAAGTGTCTCTATATATAGACCAAAAGGTCTAGCTGTAACAGCACTGAGTTCAGTGCAGGCTAATTTACTTTTTTTTTTCTGTCAGAGTAAATTAGTCCACGTCGCTTTTTGTTTCACTAGCTAAACTGGTGTCTGAATTTACTAATTTAAAACTAAGTCTGACATCTCTGAGGCATGCTGTAATTTGCAGTGTTGATGCACCTTTAGTTTGAAATTTACTCAAGTTGTCTTGGCTGAAGAGAAGACAGATCCATGGCTGTATCTGAACTGAATTAATCTGTTCAGTTCAGGCTGTGCTGGTATTGATAAAATGACTGATACTTAGTTCATGATATCTTATGTTTGTCTTTTTGAGAAATCTAAGTTCTTACCTGTAAGTGAAGGCTGTACTGTTTTGCTCAGGTTCTCCTCAAGAATACTTGGAGTATTATGTATTTCCAGTACTCTTACCTGGAATGGCTGAACTTCTGCATCAAGCAAAGAAGGAAAAATGTTTTGAGGTTAGTTTTCAGTTTTCGCTTCAAATCATTGGCAGGAAGTTATAGCCTTTTATTTCACAGGCTGTATTTCTTTGTTTGATCTTTTGCAAGAAAACCAGCCATGATAATATGAAATAACAGATCATGAGTTGTTTTGGATCTGGTCTTGAATGTTGTTTTCTCCAGTAATTCAGAACAGATTGCAAACTACACACACTTAATCATTATGACCATCTCTAACTCACAACAAACCCTCCTTAAATATCCAGTTGTATTTAGCCTAAATAGTGTTGTATTTTAGAGAAACAGGGTTCCTTTCAGATTAATATGCATCACTCCTTTGAGGGTGATGTAAAGAATTTGAATTTTACTTCATTTACTCCGTTATTTTTGCTGGGCTGGCATCCTAATTGAGGTACATTCTGTGTAAATTCCATTTAAATGGAACGCAGGGTTTTCAGCATTATCGAGCTTGTAAAAATCGTACATTTTAAAGATCATTTTTGCTACATATAGTTTTATAAAGTTGTTTTTTTCAGTGTATGTGTGTGTAAACATATCTACAGATACGTTCCTCATTGTATATAGGGAATGCTTAAAAAAGCATTAGAATTGCTGCAAAATAAATCGCATTGTATCACCATAGCTTAACTCACAACCCCCCAGCAATAGATTAGGTACTGGGAGTTGTGGGCTTTTCCATCATTTCTCCTATTTTATCCAACCATGGAAGTAATTTTATTTTCTATTTCTTTTCTACTTTCTATGTGTCATCCACACTTCCCAATATAAAATGTCTCTATTTTTATGCCCGCAGCTGAGCCTCCTCTTACTTGCAGCTTGATAAAATAAAGAGCATTTAATATAAATGATAATAAAAATATCTCCCATTTTGTACATGATACACATCTGAGGAATACAGTTTGTGCTCTTGGGGTTATAGGTTAAAATGTTATCGATTAAAAGTGATAGCGAAGTGAGGAGGACTTTATGTAACTAGTGGATTATTAATCATTTTAGGTTTTGATCTACCACCTCTTCAACTACTGACATTGACTTCCTGTTACAGGCATGTGTATATAGGATAACAGACATCCCAGAACAATTTTTTAAAATTATATGTGTGCTATTTACTACTGACCTATACATGCCTGGCACAGCCAAAAATACAAAAAGCTTCGCAAGCTTGAGCGGTCACCCCAGACTTGCATTTCAATACCAAATCTGTACATTTAATAACATTATTTCAAATTTTGCTTAGTCTTTACAAGATTTGTGTCTGTCTATAAACTGATTTATATATGTGTGTAGATGTATTTATAATCTGTGATTAATACAGGTGGAATAAGAAAATGGTTCATTTACATGTCGTTATGGTATGACATCTCTGTACATCATTCCTGCCATCACATTTACATTACCTAGCCAAGAATAGATTGAACATATATATTATTCATCACACTTTTAATGAAATCTATATTGATTTTTTTTTTTTTAAAGGAAGCACATATCCTTTAATAGGAAAAAGGCATGTCTTACAGCTGGCTTAAAATACAGTCCTTGATAGATATTACGTGTTTCTGAAGGCAATAAAACAGCACTTAATACAAAAATAAGAGAATTTTTAGAAATATTTCAGTTTCAAACTCAGGACAAATCTAAGATTATTTAATCTATTTTTTTCTGAGAAACTTTGCAGAGCTCAGTGGTATATAGATTAGAAAATATCTGTTCTGAAGACAGATTTTTTTATGGGTCTGTGTGTTGCTTTATAGAAAACTAAAACCCAATTATATTCTAATGTATAGAAACTGCATAAAAATGAGCACATCTTATCAAAATGACACTATGTGATTTTTGTTGTTATATGGAGAGATGTCCTGATATTGGGAAAGGAAGTTTAGGAAAGCAAGCTTATGTCAGATGATCATTTTCCACTGTGACATAATTTCTTCCTCCTTTTGAACAATAACTAGTAAAACAATAGCTCTTTGACTGCCATATAACTGAATATTTGTGTTCTTTTCCATTACTGTCCAGGTGCTTGTACTTGGACATTCTGTTTCCTTACCTGACTTAAATATGTAATTCTGAATTATATTTTTGTTTTGTAAAAAATGTTGTGTTCCATATGGGTTTGGAGAAAAAAAACATACTATAATTTGCATTAAAATGGTTAGTGCCATTAGTGCCAGAACTGATTTTTAGGACCAAAACCAGAGCCTTTAAAAACCCAGAGAAAGTTAGGGACAAGGAGGGAGGGTTCTGTGATAAACACATGCGAAGATGGCTTTAAAAAATAGAAGAACAAAGAGTAGAAATATCCCTGGAAATCATGAGAGAACAGGAGAGGAACATGATTCATTGTGATTAAGCTAACTGAAATCATGAAGGATGAGAACAGAATACTGGGTTTGAATTTTGGCTAGACATGAGTCATTAAAGCCTGTAAAGGGCAGCTCCAATAGAATAAACCAGTAGAAGATAAATGGAAGCACTGGAAGAAAGGGAGGAGCCATCGAACTGACTGCAGTCAATGCTAAGCGAGCCTGGGAGAAGAGAGAGGGAATTGCAAGGGACAATGTAGAGTGGGTTTTTGATGAGAGGGACTAAAGGTTTTCATGTTTTGAAGGGGAATGAAGATGAATGAGAAGAGAATGAAAAAGAAAGTAGGAAATTGGTTTAGCAATTGAAACTGTGGTAAAGGAGAGCAGATCAAGGGACCCACAGAGGAACTAAGGGAAGAGATCAGAAAAGATGCATCCTTGTCTGGAAAGGAAGAACTGTAGAATCATATGGGAAAGGCAGGAAAAGGAGAAGGCTCTGCTGAAAGTAGTTGTTTGCATAGGAAAGAAATCTGCAAGATCTTATTTGGAAGGTGATTTCGAAACGTAACTTAAACATTTCATTTAAAATAGGCTCTCTTGCATTATGTAGTGTGTATGAAAAATCTGAAAAGCCAAAACCTCGAAGAAACTGCCAGCTGCTACATATATTTGCAGACTTCAAACTGACATAAATATAAGAACAGTCTGTAGAAGCTTAGTTTTTAAATTAGAGATGAAAGAAACCTATTAAGTTGCCCAGTGTATTCCTTTGCTGTTTTGTTTTGGTTTTTTTCCCCCTACCATAAGTTCTCCTGTGCTTTATTGTATCTGCTGTCAAATGTCTCCAGGGGAAAGACTATTTTCTTAAATCTTTTCTCTCATGAGAACTGAGTAATGCATTAATTTTTCAGCATTAAAACTGAACAATGTTTAAATATTTTTATTAGCATAGCTCTGAATTTTCTTTATGGTTAGCGATCACAGAAAGAGGATGCTGTATCAGACTCTAATGGAATATATTATAAGTATGGGAGACTGGGGAAAGTGAATGGAGGAAGGTTTCCTAATGACTTTGCCATCTCCCGATCACCAGTATTTTTACATTATTACCAAGTACATCATATTTAAACTGAAAAATGGAAAATGAATTCTGACTATAAATAGTTTATAAGCACATCTGCAGGTTAACAATGCACATTGTGCAGATACTTCCTGTGTTTATCCTGATTCATGTAGCATAGGAGGAATGTGTCAAAGGCAGGTCAATTTATGTCATTTTTTCCCTTCTATAAATTTTGACTGCTGTGCAACTAATGATTTAATTCACCAGTAAATTGAACTGTTTCCTGGCAAAATAATAACAAAATAAAAGAATATTCAGCTTGACTGAATTCTTCCCTGGATCTAACAAGGCTGAAGCAAGATGAATTTGATTCCTTTGGTGATGACTGTTTTGACAACACTGTTCTGATCCTTTTTTCCTGTTGCAAAGGAAAAGCAATTTAGTTAGATTAAATTACAGCTGCTAGATTAAATTGAAGTTTGTTGTCAAAGTATAGAATTTATTCTCTGAAACAATTCACTAAGTAATGGGACCCAGTTTCAAGCTGTGATTGAGAATAGCTGTACAACATCAGACTCTGCTATTTGTTTTCACATTCTGTTCAAGGCAAAATTTGTCCATTTAACTTCTAAAATGACCTGTAGAAAACTCTCAGGTGAAGGTGTTGGTCTCTTAAAGCTTCAGTGTTTGGCTTCTTGGAACAGTATCTAGTATTAGCATGACAAGTGTGAGAATTCCTTAAGGACATGTGTTTCTTCACAGCCAAGCACTCTAATGGAGTGCTGCAGGAACCCCAAAGCTTTTGTTGTCATGAAACAGATCATAAAGGCACATGGGGTTCAGTACTGATAATTGTTTTGCAATGTTCTCTTCTTCTACTCTGCCTTTTTTTTTTTTTTTTTTTTTTTTTTTTTAAGAAGTTCTCTTTCTTTTCTGTACTGTATGTCTACCAAGGATAAGATTCACTTAGAAAAGTAAAGGCTTTCCTGGGTATCATCTAGGAATGCCATGCAGTCATGCCCTAAACTTCACATCTGTCATCCCCCTGGCTACATTTCTGCCCTGTGCAGTCAGTGTCTCACATTATGTTCCTCTTCCACTTCACCTGTGCCTGAAGTAATACACTGACCCCCAAATTATGCCATGTGCTAATACCCCAAACTTTGAAAGAAGTATTGCCATGTAGAGCACATTTTTTTCTGCCTCCTCTGTTCACATCCCCCAGTCTTTTTTTGCATTATGTTCTTGCAGCACAGGGGAAACATGGATGGTGTGGATAATATGTAGAATAAAGTCATCTGTCATGCATTAAATTTCCAATTACTTATCTATTGTGTTTTTCTTAGCAAGAGGCAGTAGTACCTTCATTTCTTACATTTTATTGAAGACTCCAACCTCTTTCATGACATTTAGCAGTTTCACAAATGTGTTTGACCGGTGTGAATTGTTTTCCTAAAAAGTAATAGTTGCAGTTGATCTCCTATTTGGCAGGGTAAGAATTAGCTTCTGGATAGGAGCTAGACTTTCTCCTCACTAAATGGCTGCTATTTTGATAAAGCAAAGCAATCAGTGTCTCTGTTCTGCAGGAGCATAATGTCTTTTAATGATCACTCTCTGGCTGTGTACATCCATAACGCATCTCATGTAAGAGGGGTTCAGAACATACCAGCCAAGCTCTTCTGTTATTCCAACCAGAATATTATATTCTCCACGTCATCTGAATCCACAGATGCAGAACATTATATTCTCCACATCATAGTTATTCTGATTTATGATGAGCAGGATAAGCACCTGTACTCATTTGTACATTCAATCTGTAAGGATGGAATGCAGAGGGGAAGTCTCTTAAGAAAAGGAAGGCTCTAATTAATTATGTATTGATCAAAATTTATCCTTTGCATTTTGAACTTGAAACATACTTTACCGCATGCAGTGCTCTCCACCTAAACAGGTACTGGCTGCATGAGTCACTGTGGATAACCCACTGCAAAACATTTTGCAAAATTCTCATTGGTTGTCAAGAAATTTTAGGATTGGGAGCAAAGGGCACAGCTGGTTTGCTCTGAAGCTCCAGGTTTTGAACTTTTTACCTGGTTTTCTGTAACGTCCATGGTATCTGTGGTTGGTTTTGCCTTTCTTTCTGGACTACCCAATAGACAATTTTGTCTGAGCAGCCATACAATACCCTGCTGTGTGTGTTTCTAAGTATGCACAATGCCTTCAAGCTGGTTCCATGCAGGAGGAAACAATATTCCATCAATGTTCCTTTTGTGCCTTTGAAGTAATGAAGTATTTTAAGTGTGATAATAGAACTTTGAACAAAATGGCAAGTAATTTACAACATATTTTCACATATGAGTTCTGTTAATTTCTTTGTGATGAGATTGCCACTTGGAAAGAACACCATTCAGAGATACCCGTTACAGCTATATTGCAGCTAATATTAAGATAGTATATGTAAAATTTTCTCACTCATTCTTTGACATGACTTGAAAGCATTCCACAAAATTTCTATAAATTTTGGCTAAGGCACTGACTGTTGGCAGTAGCAATATTAAAGCAGAGTAATGTACTGTATGTTTTATTTAGTAAAAGCAGTCAATTTAGTTTCTGTTCCTCTCCAGTAGTAAAAATATGTGACCAATCCAAAGATAATAAATAATTTGAAACTATCTTCTATCTTTAGAGAAAAAGGACCAAATTTATTGCCTGTGACTTCTTAACTGAGTGGTTATACAAGTAAGTTAACTATGGCTTTTACTATTCATTATGCTCAATGATTCAAAGGCATTAATTTGCAAATAGAATAGCTGAAATTTAAATTAATAACAGTTGTTTTCTTTTTTTTTTTTTTAATCAGCAAGAACCCAAAGAGGAAAGATGAGTCATTCACAGAATTCTTTTCCATTCCTTTTGTTAAGGACTGGCTAAAGGACCAGTAAGTTATTACAGTACTCAGAGCAACATTCTATCCTTTTAGTCTTCTTTCCGTCCTACTCCAAAAAACTAATAGAGCTTTGATTCCTTAAACTGTGTCCTCTAAATGCCCTTTACTATGTGCAACAAAGAACTATGTGATGCTTCTTAACTTGGTAATGTATTAGTTGCAAGGTATTTTGTACCAGAATTGATCACAGAGAAATTAATTAAGGTTTCTAAAACATTTTAACTGTGGAGTGCAGGGCATGCAAAGAGTCTGGTAGTAGTATGAATATCTTTGTACTAAAGAGCAGAGCAGCATTTTCAATGCTGATTCCTACTATGGATATCTTTGAGGACATACAGTCTAGAAATTCTTCCCCTAACTGTAAATAGGGTGTTTTAAAAATACCTGTAATAGTCCTTGGTGTCAGGATGCATTTCTGCAGACATTTATGACTTTGCATCTGAGAAGTGAACACTTGTTTTGGTAGCCTCAGTTGCATATTCCTTGTTATTGCTTTAGAACCAAGCTGTACAGTAGTTTTGAAATAAATGTTACTGTCCTTCAGCCTGCAGTTTAACAGGGTAGGTGTTGTATGAGAAAAGAAGAAAAGCAAAGTGATAGGCCACAGTGAGAGAATAAGAAAATTACAGAGGTCAGATTTTAAAGAAAATTTTCAATTTGAAAACTTAATTGGAAGCTAGGCTGGTGGTTGGTGAAAAGAGATTAATATCTTTGTAGATATGATTTCTTTATTGCACTATGTAAGTGGAGCTTGAGCTTTCTTGAACTGTTATCATGTGAAGCTTTGAAGCCTTGAGTAACTGATGCTGCAAGAGGAAAGCTCCTTGACATTCACAGGCCTTTGTTGATAAGCTGGTGATTGTGGCATGAACAGTTTGACTATCTTAGAGGTAGTCATGTGGTCAGAGTTGTGTAGGAAGTTTCAGCAGGAAGAGATGGACATCTTCATAGAGTGACCCCTTTCATCTCAGCTCTGATACCTTCAGGTACCTGCTACTGCATCATACTGCCCAGCCACTGCTGTTCAAACTTGCCAACAAGATTCCTGTTTAAGACAGTGAATTTTGTAGTTTGGAAACTGATTATGAACTGCAGTGAGGTTGTCATCCTCATTCTTAGGCATCGGTTAGCAAGGCAGTTTCGATACCTCTGAATTGTGAGGATGGATATTTGTACCTAAGATAAATATCTAAAATCACAGTTTTACAAACGGTTATCTTGGAAGTAAAGCTGACCTAAATGGTTCCCTGTTCTCTCCTGTTCTTCACCCCAGCCTGCTTGTAGGCAACCTAATATCACCCTGTCCATTTGGTATGATGCTTAGTTATTCTCATCAGGGACCTCTTCCAAGTTAGAGATGTCTCTGCCAAAATGTGAGAGGAGGATTTGTATAGCTATTTAAAATACAGATAATTTCTCCAATCTGGTTCGCTTGGGAGCCTGACAAACCTTTGTATTGGCACAAAGGAAGGTTTAAAATGCAGGGCTCAGGACAAGGTGAAGAGAACAAATGAGCTGGTAAGATATAGAGGTGGTGGCAGGAACTGCTTAAGTCAGCTTTGCCAACAAGAGAATACACTGTGGAATCACAGCCTGAATGACTCATAGCTTCTGTTAGTACTTGTGCTCCTAAATAACATAGTGACAGCTCCACAAGGACACTGAAGTGTCACAGTCCTACTTAAATTGATACACGCTTGATCTTAAAACCTCTAAACAAGTAGGCCTTTAAAAATAATTATTATCAAAACCCAGATTTTTGTGGACTTACCTCAAAATTGCAGGTTTCTTAACAAATATTGCTTATGAAGTAAGCATTATTAGAGCAAAGTGAAAGACTGCAATATTAAATGAGAATAAAAATGAGAGAATTTGTTATGATGTCCTTCTGGATATGCCGTAAATAGTTTATTATTACATGCTTCCCGATACCACATTTAAAATGTAGTTGATTCTATGATTTTTATCGTAATTACCATTTTTATTTGTAAAGGAGTTTTCATTTTTTAACAGGATGTATGAATATAAAAGAGACAATATGATAAAAAGTGCTGGTCAAATTTTGATGGGAAACATCCTTATCCTGACTGTTTAGATAGTATAATAAAAAAAAAAGTAGTAAAAAGTGTTGCTGCAAATTTAAGGGGTAAACCCTTGTGTTGTTTTTTCAGCTACTTGGAAAGTGTTCTGAAAGATATCTTAAATAGGAATACGTTTCTATACTGAGTTAAAATAGGGTTTATCAGTGGAAAGTTGTCTTCGTGCTTAAATATCCCCCCCAACAACAACAACAACCAAAATAAACCAGAGGGATAAATTTTTCTTCTATCAGAGATCCAGCTTTTTTTAATACATTCCATACCTGAGTATGACTTTTTTGGCTCTCTTCCAGTTTCTTCTTTGAAGCTCAAATTTTTTTTTAAGAATAGTCAAAGCTACAATCTTATGAGCATCACTCTCTGTATGATGTGTTTCTAAATGAGATCTTGCAGCCTACTTTTCCTTTATGGGAAGGCCCAAATGCTGCATTGGTTTCCAGAATTTTAATGGCAGACACTGTACTTTCAAAAGCTTGGTTACTGTAGGTGAAGGAGCTTTTAAAATTCTAATTTATTTCCACCTTTATTTATAATAATTGCTATGACATCAGTAAATAAAAGCCTCAGTATAGTTACCTTGTCTTCTACCAGGTTCCGTATATTACCAGTAGCACTGGCAAAATATTATATCCCTTGGGAATCCTTGATTCCTGAAGGAGATTTCAAAAGCAATAGAGCAGTCTCAACACTGACTGGTAATCTGCATTTCATGTCCAGGAGAACACAAAACATTTCTGTTTTCTTAAAGGACAGCTGTACCTTTCAGAGAACAGGAAACTGGGGTTTTAACAAGAAAGGAACAAAAGTTTTTGGACACTTGCTGAGTTACTTACTGATGTCCCTATTCCTACATTCAAGACTGCTGATATAGCCAAGTAAAGCAAATAAAATTAGAGCCTTGAATGTTTTGTACTCCTATAAATATGCTAACGAGCACCACAGTTGCCTTTTGTCAGCATTTTCCAGTGGTGTTTCTGGTTGAATGGCAGTGAAGCTAATCGCAAGTAACCAAGCTGCATGTACTGAACCAGGGACAGGGAAAGAGAGTCATCTGTGGTTTTGCCCTGATCTCCCTTGAATTTTACTTTTCTGGCATAGATAGGCTCAGTCAGTATTCTCACTATCATGGGAGTATGATTACCCATCTGTCTTTAGCATATTAGTGAAAGAAATATGAAGAAAACAATAAAAAAAAGTTCCATTGCTCTGGAAAATACTGATATCATAATCTACTGTCACATTAATGTAATAATAGGACAGTATTGTTCAAGTTCACCTTCAACCCTTGTATTCAATGAAAGAATGGTGTGAGGATCTAGGTTAGGAATAATCGCAAGTATTTTCCTGGCTGTTGAAGATCAGTCTTTGCATATTTTAAAGGGGTTACAGGAACTGAAGGTGTATTTTATAAATAAACATTCAAATTTCACAAGAATTTATTCATCTGCATTTTCTCATTTTCTGTATAGAGGTATTTACTTCATACTCAGTTCAGAAGGACACTTTTCTTGGTTTAATCTATCTGTGTATACCAAAACAAATGTGCAGATACAGGGAAAACAAATTTATCATGGCTTTAATGAAGCTGAGATATGTGTGTGTGTGTGTGTGTGTCTATAAATGATTAGTAAATCTGTAGCGGCTTTTTGCCAAATATCTATATATGCATATATATATATATATTGATTATTTTTTTCTCCTCCCCCTCCCACATTCTAATTAGGTGAAGTCTGCTGGTCTCAGCTGCCTTTACAGTTGACTTCATTGTCAGTTCTCAGATGGCCAATAGGGGTAATTCTGCATGGGTGACTGATTTCTTTCTTTCTTTCCATAATGTGCCCAGTTTCCACAGGCTTTGCTTTCTGCACACTGCTATATTTCACTGGTCTGTAACTACATCAGCCATGTTTAAAGCATATTTGATTCACATTCATTCTTTTCCTCTTATTTTCTTTAATAACTTCAGCTTTAAATTGAGGGGTGTGGTATGGTGTGGTGAGCAACACATTTAATTGTAGTAACAGAAAAGTCCAACAAATATATCTGTATGGATGTTACTTTATGTGTATCCAAGTAAAGAATTGCCATTCCAGTAACATGGCAGAATACAAGTAATGGAGGAGAAATATTTGACTTAAACTGCAGCTGTGTTGGAAAATTGCACAAAGTTTATGTATAAAATATTGATATTGTGTAATCATGTTTTATGAAGTTGGGTTTTATGGCTACAAATCCTAATGCAGTGCTGGAACTTGCTTTGATTTATGTAAAGATTGTTAAAATGGCAATGAGAAAATTGAAAATGTCTTAGTGGTTTGAGACATCTTCCAAATAGAAGTTAGAGCACTAATTGAAGACTATTTTTGCTGCTGTTAGTTATTCATGTTTACAGGATATGAGGTCTGATCAGAAGTACACATACACAGATGGAAATTTCCCTGTTGACATAAGTGGACTTCAGAATATGTCCGTGTTTGGTTTCCTTCAGTCCAGGACCACAAACACTCTTATAGAAGAGAAAACCAAGGCAACACAGTGTGACTTGCAAAATATGTAGCAACTATGCAAGCACAGAAGGAGGACTGAGTTTTATCGTCCCCAAGTGCAGAGCATATCAAGGGTGAAAAAAGCCACTATAGCTTTCAGACAGAACTTAAGACAAAAAATAATTGGTCTTTTATTGTTTTGGCATGTTCTCACTGTTCAGACTTCTTGCTGTGCTTCCTCTAATTCCTCTCGTGTTCTTGTTACCAGTCACCTGTTCCACCTCATTCTCCTGTTATGTGACTCTGCCTCCTCACTTACCAACTTCGTAGTGTTAGTTCCATACTATCTTTTCTTTTTACCATGTCTTTCCTTCATTATAAATAGGTAAATAAGTATATAAACAGTTTGTATGTGTTAAATTGTATGCATATTGTCACTAGGATCCCTTTGATAATACTTCTGAGTGTATTTTTATAGTTTTATTACTGTAATATTTTGTATCTTTTTGTGTGGGGGGTGGGTGGGTTTTTTTCTTAGAATTGTGGCTGAGGTGGAAATGAAACAGGAAATTTAAGTGAAATGTTTTGTTTGTTCACAACCTATACCCTTTATATTTGAGGATATTCAAAATACAAAAATGTATTCAAAAGACCAGCAAAGCAGTGGAAGATACAGGAAATGGAGAGGGACAAAAAGGGTCAAAATATAGATATATAGATATATAGATATTTATTCTTTATTTAGCTATTGACAGTATCAAGGAGCTTTTATTTGGAGATGGTGATAGAGGAGAAGAGTTCAGACAGTTAGCAGGAGTCACACTTCAAAATGTGTGCTGGCTTGCGCTTCCTTTCTTCAGAAGATTAAATTTGATTATTCCCATCTTCACAATCCCTCAAAAATGTACCATCCATATAATGTACAAAAATGTCTTCTTATATATTGTAAAGATTTTTTTTCTCCAAATACTTTTCTTTTATTCTAGTACATTTAGATTGCTGCAAAAGAAAACCTGTAGTTAGTAATTTCTCTCTGGCTGTTGAGTAGTTGTATTAATACTAACAGTGTTACAAGGAAAGTTTCACACTCAGTTGGACCTGTGAAAATGTTCCAGGGTGTTTTTGTCAAGTGTCTGTGGGAATATTTCCCTGTAGACCTGTGAGGCTCACACAGTGATGGTGTAATATGTGATTAATATATCTAATTGGTTTTAAATAGCAGGTTAGATAAAGCAGTATTTCAGTGTCTGATTATGAACAATCGTTTTCCTGCTTTTGGGGTAAATGATCTTAATAGTATCTATAAGCAGAGATTTTTGAGACATTATTTTGAATCAAAACAATACTTTTTCATCGTTGCACACTTTTGCAACTCTGCATAGGCATGTAAGAGAACGTCTTAATGAAGGCAGGTGCTGCTGTAATCTTTCTAGATTTTCTGGGTAGGAATAAGAAATGCTGAAAATATAAAAGAAAATTACTTTGAAAAATTTCCAGAGTGATATTTTTTGGGTTTTCAGGCCACCATCTAAATTTTTTTGATTACTTTCCAAAACAAAGACTTCCTCAAGATCCTTTTTTAAAGAGTTATGCAGATCACCATGGTAGTTTAGTTGCATGTCTTATACTTATCTCTATTTTTTTAATCTGTTCTTTTGTCTTTTAAATTATGTATTTTGCAGTGACTCTGTCATTGCCTGTGTTCATGCATGATATAAATATTCAAGAACAATAACCATCACAGTCAAAGGTGAAGTGGTTGTGTCTGTTTAATATGGCAGTAGCTGTCATACTGAAACTTAGAGGCCTCCACAGAAGGCCTGATTCTTGTTATTAGGGTTGCTTCAGCATTTCTAGAGACAAGCTTTCTAAAAGCAGAGAGAAACCCTGGTTGTTCATTGACTGCACTGGCTATTCCCCTGCACAGCAGCCACCCCAGCACTGATGCTCTCTGTAGCTCTGTGGTCCTGCAGGCAGCTGGCGATAAGGCTGGTGGTTACAGTTGGTGGTTGTCTGTTACTGTTAGGGAACAGATTGGAATAAAATGAGCAATTACAAAATCCTGAATTATATATAGTGAAAATTTTGCTTGGTTAATTTTTTTTCTTATAATTCCTTTTCAAGGAAAGAATCAGACCTATTTCTAGGACAGATTGGGAACTTAATGACAATTGGGGTTTGACATTGTGTAAAAATACTGACTGTATACAGTGTCCATCAGTGTGTCTATGAACCCACATAGGTTAGCTTGTCTGTTTTGGTGACAAGATAATGGAGGGCCTTTTTTCCCCCTTTTTTGAGAATTCATTGAGAAACCCAGCTTCTGCATGAGGAAATCAGATACGTGTTTTCAGTAAGAACTTCTTCAAATACTTCATACATTTATTTAATGCGATTATGCTTTATATTTTCTGCATGCCAAATTCCACCTGCATGATGTGATATAATTAGTAAGTATCTCATAATCAGGATCTGTACAAGTTTCCTCAGAAAGCAAGAAATGTGTTTCTAGAATTTTACCTTTCCCCTGGTCAGTGTCTGCTTTATTCAGATTTGGTAAAATACAATGCTTATAAAAAATCATTTTACTGATGCTCTTTTACAGGTGCAACTTATGTTAAGCAATATATCTGATATATATCTGAAAATAGGTATCAATATGTTTAATGTGGGGGCTTTTAAGATTGTGCATGATCAAAGACTAAATAAGCAGTCAGTTTTAATCTTCTTGGAGGCATACAGCTGTCTTCTGTCACAAATGACATATTCCCTCTTTTCCTAGTTCACTGCTGAAGGGTGATTGCCTCTGCTCAGACTCTATTTTTATTTGACCTGAAGCCAATTGCGTATATCCTCTCAGACAAAACTGGACCTGGCATGACTTCTCTTCTTTAAAGCTGCTCTGTTGAAATGATTGATATTTGATAGTGACTGCTGTACTGAAAATTAAGTCCTGTTCTTGATTGATTTTTAAATTGGTTTCTCAAACTTAGTGTTTGATTATAAACTAGACATTTTTATAATTTGAAAATGAAAGCAAATGAATGCTAGAGTTGGCCTTGCAGGCTCGGAGAAATCTCAGTTTGTTCTTTGGAGATGTACTCATTTTTAGAGAAAGTTCAATGTCTTTGATATAACTGCTGTAAAATATGTAGGTCTTTCTGTGATATTCCCACTCTAAGTTTTGGTTTTCAAAAGATCAAAAATAGAAGAGAGGATGAAAGCCTATCAGCCAACCCAGCACAGTTCGACTTCATATTTTAAAGTCTGATTATAAGAAGCTGTTAGCTCTAGAAGCCTTGCTTGTCCAGCACTTACCATGTCCCTTGAGCAGCAGAAATGTTAATTAATATTCACAGAGCTAAAACTGTTTAGCTTAATGGAGGGACTTCTTTTTATTTTTGCCTTATTTCTACTCTCCCAAACGGACTGAGGTTTTCTTTCACATCAAAATAAATGTAGGCCAAAACCCAGCTGACATGATGATGAGACCAATTTAGCTGAGTACACAGACTAAACCGGTGGAGTCAGTGTAGCATTAGATAATAGTTAAGATTGTGCTCTAAATTGAAATGCTCCTTCAGTGCAGACAGGCCCTAAGAGAAAGACGTCAGAGAGCGTTGGAAGCTTACTAGGGCAGAGTCTAATATGAATGAAATTAAGTGAAAGGAAAATGTAAGCTGTCAAGCCTCCTAGCTTGAGCTGTAATATACTGTAAAATAAATTTCCAAAAGAAATGGCAGAAGTAATGTTTTAGCCAGAAAATGTAAGACTGCATAAATAGCTTGCTAACTGATGGTCTTTGCAGTATATGTGTCTTTATAGTATAAATACTATAAATATTGTTCCTGCGTGGGTTGCATGTGTCTGTAGATGATGGCTGCATTCAAACTCATAATGTTGTGGTCTTCCAAGTCAAAGCTGTGTTCAATCTGTTTCCTATGCATGGAGAGTGGCTCTCTGCAGCCATTCTAACACTGTGCCAAGTCTACTGTTTGTAACTGGTATCTTCAGGAGTTGCAACATTATTGCCCTATATTTCATCAGCTTTTAATTACATTTATTATAAAAGAAACTATATAAATTAATTTTGTCCTTTCCAATGCTTGCTTTCTGATCATTGTGTGTGAGAAGTAAATCAACATCCATAGAAAATGGCTTTTAGGAAGCAGGATTTGATGTAGTGGTTTGAGTTTTTTTTAGTGATGGCCTAATTGTAATTATAGTTTAGAGTGCTTCCCATTAAAATTGGTAGCAACAGAACCACCAAACCACTAAGCATTTGAAATGCTTTCAAATTACTGTATATTTTGGCTGAAAATTGTTGACTTCTCATGTATTTCTTTTATCACCAAACAATGTGTATATGCAATCAAAAGTAAAATTTCAGCTTTTTAAGAACTTGTTTAGACATTTCTGACATGGATCCATGGTTATGCAGATATGACAATCATTAATGTTTTCAGTACATTTTAAGTGAAATCCTAATGTAGATTAATGTACTAATATATAAATACATTCTGTGTATTTAATAATTGTTATAATTGTTTATGTCCTATGACTGTTCACTGTTGCATGCACACTAAAACCTCCTCTGCTTTACAAATGGCATGCTTATTTCTCTCGCCCCCCTCCTACCACCACCTCAAACCCTAACATAATAGTAGGAATTTAAAATCCATGTAGAAGAATAAGAAAGATTACTGCACTTGATGTGCCATTTGTGTATCATTTTAAAGAAGAAATGATTGTAGCATACGTAACACAGAATATACTTTTAAAGGAGATATTCTTTGCACATTTTATCTTTGGAGCAACAAGAAATTGTATCTTTCAAGCTCCTGAATGTTTCTCTTTTTTTATAAAATATACTGTTAGGAAAGACAGTGTTTTACATTTATAGGCTGTCTGTTTACAAAACATATTTTTTTTTAAGTCCTAGACCACCAATTCCTCTATCTCTCCTTCTATCAGAAGAAGCAGCAAGCATAGTAATTCAGTCCTTCTGGAGAGGTTATCGGGTAAGAGTAATCTATAATTATTTTGCTTGATTTTGAAAACCGTAGGACTGTGAAGGCCCCAGGGAAAATCCTTACATAAATTTTAAGTAGCGAATACTATAAATAGCTGCTGAGACCCCCATGGTTCATTGGCTTTGGATGTTGCTCTTCCTTATGCCTAGTGACTACAATTTTTCATAGGCATTTACGCTGATGTAATCTCACTGTTTTTCTCAACAACAGAAAATCTGCAGAAATTAGATTTTTTAAAAGTACAATTAACACTGAACATTTTTTTTTTTTTTTTAGTTGATCTTTGGCTAGTTCCTAAAGGTTGAAGTGTTATTTTACTTCATACAGGGATATGTGAGTGAGTGTGGAGATGCAGAAGTGGCCAGGTTTGTTAAGAATAAAAGCATACAGAAACAAAGGACAAAAAATAGAGACTAAGAATGAGACAGGAGATGTAGGAGAGGCATGAAGGCTGTTACTCAAGGAAAGAGAAAACAAAATGGCAAGCAGATGTTGCAAGCCATGCTAATAATACAACAGTAATGCAATCCTCAATTTAAGGGGGAAAAGCAAGGCACGTAAAATAAATACAAAGAAAATTGGCTAATACTATTATTTTGGGGGGTAAATAGATCCTGTCAAATATTTATTTGAAAGGCTCTAACACCTTCATGCCTTGGAAGGAAATAGACTTGAAATTCAGGTGACTTTGGTGACAAAGAAATGTCTTTGACTGCCTTTGTCAAAATTTAAGCTTGTATATAGCCTCCAAGTATAGCAGTAGTTTCACTGTGATGGACAGTGAGACATCTCTGTCTGTGCATTACGTGTTCTTTAAATAACAATCAGTATAAAATATTCTGTTAAGATCTTCTTTACTACTTTTTACAAGCATGAATATATGAGTGACTACTATAATGTTTCATGCAGTCAAAGATGATGAAATACCTTGAAATAGTCTTCTTGACTGGTAGATTTTTGTGACACTTTCTGCTTGTTCGTTTTCCTTTATTTTTCTTTTTTTTAAACAGAGATGGCATTGACACTAACATTAATTAGCACTGACAATATCACTGCAGGCACCTTTACAGTGGAGTATTGCAAAGGCAACCATTATCCAACAGTTATGTTTGCTGAACAGTGCAAAGTTGCTCAGATACCTTGTGCTTCTGCCAGAGCTTCTGAAGGGCGCTATCCTTCCTTGCTATATATATTAACTTCAACATTTCCACAGTAGTATTTATCATTCTAAACCTGTTCCCAGAAATGAGAGAAACTGTACCTATAAAAAGTAGGAGACATCAAAAATAATTCATAATTAATAAACTATAAAAGTAGCTGTTACATGTTTTAGCTTATTGGATCTGAAAGATCTTGGGTTTTTAAAAATTAAAAGTTAAAATTAAAATCAGAAAATAACATAAAAATCATTTGTAACAAGGTACTACACAAGGCAATGTGTAATCCTTGGGCTTGTAAATTAAGCTTGAATGGGATTTCATCACATTAATGATAAAGTATATTAGAAATTTACCAAAGAATTCAGATGATTTGTTCTTAAAGTAACTAGCTCTGTCAGCTAACACTGATTTATTGTGGTAATAACTGAACACTTACAAATAATGCCCTTTTGCATTCTAAGGATATTATTGTCTCAGTATTTTAAATTCTCCTCTGATGTTTTTCATTAAACCTTGTTTTATAATTCACAGAATTTGGAACTTTTAAACACTGTTACTGAAATAAAAATTTACACTTTATGATAACATTGAATAATTAAATAAAAGCACACATATTTTACATGGCACTGTGGTAAAGGAACAGTGTATTTATTTCATCATTGGTCTTCTCAAGATACACTTCAAAGGACATAAAATAATATGCCATAGGTACTTGTTTGAAAGATGGATGAAGGATTCTGCACACTCTGTTGGATTTCAGAAAAAGTAAAAGGCTCAGAAATCTGGGCAAGATAGTTTTGTCTTTAACAATGCTATCCCAAATGTGAACCTTGTAAGCTTTTTATTCTTAAACAATGTCATACAAAGTGTGAAAAACCACAGCAAGTTATTTTTCTTAGACATATCTTCTATGGACTCAGACCATTTTTGAGATATTTCATTAACCATAGGCAGTAGAGTTTATCTAGTTACTAACTGACTGAGCATCGTGTCTTCTCATGATACTCCACTTGTTTCTGACACATATAGCTGTCTGAGTGTGCCAGTATCAAATACACTTGTCAATCAGCAAAAGTGGATTGGGCAGCGAACGTTTTTCTGTGTAAAGGGAAAGAAGAGCTATAGGTACAGAATACTGAGAACTTTTTGATAATAAATTATGATCAGTGCAGTACATTCATCCTTACCTGAGGCAAATTGCAGAAAAATACTTGTTTTGGTAGTAATACTTAATGTCTGCCATCAACAAAGTCCTCGTTACAATCTTGCGTACAAAGACATTGATGAGTACTCTGAAAATTATTTCAAGTTTAATCAAGAATTAAATTCCAGAACAAACAGCAGTGGAAGCTAAAACTGCCAAGTACTCTAAGGAGCTCAGAAAGGAAGATGTCATCTTGAGGGGCCTCTTTGAGGGTGAGGAGGAGCACCAAATAAGACTTGAGAGAGCTCTGTCATCAGAATCCTTTCTCTTCGCTTTTCACCAATCCTCTTTTATTGAGGTTGCATTCATTTGTCATGGGCCAAGGCAGTAATCAGTATCAGGTGAAAACACCTGACTGGGTAGGTATCCATTTTCGAGGCACTTTTCCAATAAAAGATGATATATTCCTTCACCCATTACTGCGGAATCAGTGCTTAGTGCCATTTGTTTTATGGGGTCTTTTTAATCTTTACAATTTGCATAACTGTTCTAGACCGGGGATTTTTCATTAATAACATTTCCTTTAATGTCTCTGGTCGAAGCTTTAGTGTTATCCTTCCACTGTTGCCAACATATTCTCACCTAGCATTGAAAGCTGTTTATTTTGACTAAACCTTGTAATATCGTGAAGTTTAAATTGGATATTATTATGTAAATATTCAGTGCTCTTTTATACATAAATATTGTTTGAGCAGAGTTAAATTAGAATTGAGTCAGGCTTATCTTTATATCTTACAAAGTTGTGGTGTGCTTTTGCTGTGACAATTTATATTCCTTTCCAACAAGTTGTGGCCACTAGCAAAGGCTCAAACCCTGAAGGTCACATGAATATTTGCAGTTATTTACAGGAAGCATAGGTTCAATCCAAGTGACTTGGGTAAGAGTGAACTCTCACTTCAGAGTTAAGACCCCTTCAGGGCTTCATGCATTGCTGGTTTCCAGGAAAGACACAACAGTTGTTTAGAGAAGACTCTTGACTGATTATTTGTCTGGAGATTTTGTTGCTGAGTCATGGCTTGTTAATCATGGTAGAATTGCACTCTGATTAAAAAATAGACTACTAGCTGAGAATTTATACAGCTATGGTAAACTATAATCTATTAACCATATTTGGAACATGTTGATAGTATTTTGTTAAGTTCCTGTTACCTGTTTTACTGCAGGTGGTATACCTGTGTTCCTTTATCTTTTCTAAAAATCACTTTGTTCTGGGAGCTTATGTTCACTGCTTGGATTGAGTGTTGGACTTTGGAGCATTTGAATCTGACTATGCCTTTATCTCAGAACCTTGCATTTCGATATGTATTTCACTATACTTTCACTGTTTTATTTATCTAGGGAAAGTATACAGAATCTACTGCCTTTTATCTTTTAACTGTTAAGAGTTATTGTATTCATGTTCAGTATACCGAGATCAGGCCCTGTCACAAGCCAAAACACATCTTACATCGCTGCAGTTGTAAATGGACAATTCCATTTTTCTCCAAAATTTTATATTTAGACATAGAGGTAGTAATTTCTCTGTCTTCCTGCCTCTTTCCTGTTACTGTCATTTATATGTCCCATAAGCATTCCATTAACCCTCTCCTGTGCATAAACTGACTCCATGTAGTAGGGAATTACAGGTTTTATAAAAGCATACATGACAGTATAAAAGAAAAAAATGTCACTTGGACACCTAAAGAAATTATCCTGTGTTTGGGATTATATTTTATTTTTGAAAATAGTCTTTGATGGATTTAATAGAAAATGGGTTTGATTTTTTTTGTATAGCTGAAAAGAAGATCACTAGTAATATTTTTAATTTCTAGAATTTTGTATCAACCTTATAAGAACTTCTTATAACTTTTATAGAAGATACAACAGAACTATATTAGTATAATGGGATATTATTAGAGGCTTACAAGGTATCTGATGTCAAGTCAGTGGGTAAATGTCTTGCCTGTCTTTATTGATCATGTAACCTTGTATTGTATTTCTGCTCTGCCAGTGCACTATCTGAAATATAGCAAGCTATATTCTCCTGTGGGGACTGAAAACTGTTATGGGAGTTCAGCTATTGTCTATTGCATTCTTAGCTGCACCACAAAGAAGAAATTCTGGGTGGAAAGAATACTTTTGATAAATAATTTATATTGTTTTCTTTAAGTTGCTTTTTTTTTTTAATTAGTGGAAGACTAAGTCCTATTCTTTTTCTCTGTATGTATATCAGGAAAGTGTGAGGAAACCAGAGTGTAATGAAGTAGAGTAATAGAGTTCAAATTACAGAGCAAACATATTACCTTATCATGTAAGAATAAAATAACTATGAGAAATTTTCTAGAAAACTAAGTAGTTGACGTCCTGAAACCAAAAATGTGTCCAGGAGAAACCAAGCTTATTGCTGCTTGTTTCTACCATGTTATTCAACATCAGCCTGAATTACTAGGACATTAAGTCCTAAAACATAATGACATTTTGTATGCATAATGTTTAGAAAAAAACAGAAACTACATTTTTAATAATTCTCTTATAAATTGGATATGACTCTAAGAGAATAATTGTTTACCATGTCTAAGCTAATGTCCCCTTCCCACTTCTGTCCGAAGGACAGCATTTATTCTGGATTTTTGTTCTAACACGGGAGGTAGTAATTTTGTGAATGACGAGGTAGAAACTGGCACACACTGCTAATTAATTGAATCCTGCTTAGAACAAGTTTAAGTATCAGAGTGGTAGAAGCTGTTGATGCAAAGCTAGCTACTTCATATATTAGTAGGACCTACACCAGTGCAAAAGCTATAATAGAAGAATTCAACTTAAATCTTAAATGGAGTCAAGGCCTGTGACTATTGTCACTTTATGTGGAAGCAGAATTACAGCCTTCATAGGGGTGATTGACTGACAAAGAGTAGATATAATGTAATGCATTCCAATTACTTTAAATAACAGATTAATGGCTCTCCTGTTTGTGAAAATTGTATGACTAGGATTGTCAGTAAGCCTATTTGCAGCTGATAGCAGGTGTGAAGCAGTTTGCTGGAATAAATTTTCTGCCTTATGACCCTTCATGCTCCTTTTCTGCTCTATTATGTTGGTCAGTGGGTTGGTTTTATAGTGTTGTGGTTTTCTAAAGGCACTAATACCCTTCAGCATAATGCTTTACATTTTAATTAACTCAAAGAATAAGTGTCTCACTGCAATCATGTTCTCCTTGGTAATCAAAATTATCCCCTAATTGGCATATTTATGTTTTCAGTGGGGTTTGTCAATTATGTGGGGTTTATTTCTGTATAAGTTGAAAATTGTAAACCTTTGGGATTGTGCTTTACTATCAGGCCCAGCAAAAGATGTCACATATTTGCCCAGCCACAGCCCCATGAAAAAAACTGTATCATCATCTTGGGTAACATGAACCCAAAATTATATACTTGGGTATATAATTTTAGTTGCATTTTGGTTTGCCTTTCCCAGGTCCGCTGTGATAGTGAAATACAAGAGCTACGTCAGTGGCAAAAGCAGTTGAGAGAAAACAAAAACATTATTAAGAGGGTGGAAGAATTCTGGACTAAGCAAGAAGCCAAAGGTAAGTGAATTAGATTGAATATTTTAATTTTGGGTTTTTTTACATTGTGTTGAATTTTTATACTTGGAATTGTGTTAAAAAATAGAACACCCAGTAGGACAGTAATCCTGAGTGAGAAGAGAAGGTAATGTCTGGTGGAAATGCCTGGCTGTTTCTTTACAGTCACTACTTACCCTTATCCGTACAGCTGAAAGTGGCAATGAAAAATACAGTACAGGGCCAAAACTCAATAATTTCAGAGGACTATGACAGTGTGCTAGCACAGTATTTCCTACGGCAGGATCAGACCTCTACCAGCTACACAACATGTAAATACCGATTTTTACCAGATGGATCGTAGTACACATTTTCTGAACTGTACTTACCTATAGCAGAAGTTGGCCTGTACAGTTCTAGAAAAAGAAAACAAACCCCAACAACCCAATATAATTGCCAAGAGAAATGAGACCAGATTGCTTTATGAACCAACTCTGTAATATATTTCCTTTTTGCTCTGATTGTGGACAGACTTTACTGACAGGGGTAAAGTTGCTATTTGTTTACTCAGGCCAAGTGGTATAATTATGATTATTTGCCCAGCCTCTTTGTCTGCAAATGCAGGGGAATTCACCAGCTCCTCAGCCAGTTGCGTTTTATCAGCCTCTCTGGGCTGGACTCAAATATGATACCCGTTGGGGGATTTGAACTACACCCCTATAGATGGAGGTGAGAAGAGGTTGTTCACTATGTTGTTCATGTGTTGTAGAGAGGGAAAATTATGTTGTACCAGTCACCACTATGTGGTCCTTCAGTCCAATGTCACTGTTGCAGATGCATTCTCAGATGGCTGATCTTTGCCCCGAACTAATACATAGGAGCATTTAGGGTACAGTTTCACACAGACAATTGTCTCAAACTGGGAGGTGCCAAAATGGTTGATCCCACTCTGTAGCTCTTGCATCAGTTTTAGATTGTGTAACTGCACCATGGGTTTGGATCAGTGAGGGGTTCTGGTATGGGCCAGTTAATTTTCCACAGTGTTGTTGACATGTAATGAGCCTAACATAAAGGAGAAAGTGACTGGGGAGAGAGAGTGATAATGACTTTCAGCAGCCCACAGCTTGGTTAAATTGAGCAGAATACGAGATGGTATTCTTATACCTGGTTACTGTTCACAACTGAGGAAGTGCCAATCTCCAGTTGGTTGGCAGGAGTTAAAAGCCAGGGGCAAATCATTAGACCTCTTCAGCTCAGTACACAGAAGCACATCTGATGATGCCCTCATTCTGAGCCTCATTTTGTGGGACTTCACTGGGAAAGGAAACACTTACATTTGAATCCCTGCAGGCTGAGAAAGTTTAGAATCAGGTTTCTGTGAAAGGTTTTTAAATGCTGATTCCTGGTTAGATGCCTGCTATCCAGAAAAAATCCACAACTCTGGATTTCAAGTGACAGAAAATTGCTGATGTGCAATCTGGAATTAAGTAGTTTAATGGGAAGCCTGTGTCCTCTGTGTTACCTAATGGCCTAGGCAGCTTTTAGCTCAGCATTGAATATTTGTGGGTCACCATTTGGAGCTGCCTCTATAGACCATGTCATTGTTTCATTGGTTCACCTTCACGTGCCCAATTTCTACACATCTAAAGTCTCAACTGAGGCATTGCGTATGTCCTGCTGGGTCATCACTCAAATGTTTTTTGCTTTCCTTATTCTCTATGCAATTTTACTGTTCTTTTAAATTATTTTGCTCATGCACAGATACAAAACAGGGTATTCTGAAATTGTTTGACATCCTCACAGTATGCTTTATTTTAGACACTACAGTTAGAATGACCATACATAAGGAGTATATTAACATCACTGCTATAGCAATCAGACCTTGTCCTAAGTGACTAGAGCCTTGCAATTCTTTAGCAACTCTAGACATCAAATCTTTTGTGGCTATTGTTAATTTCAAAACTGTCCTCCTTTTTAATAGATACAACTAAAACTTCCCTGTGAAGCATTTTAATTATAAAATAGTCCATGCTCTGTAAATGTCAACGGAATTAACAGTAGTCATTAACCTGATGCCCTGCAATAGTTCTTTCACTTTTTATTGTGCATCCATGCTATCAATCATTAGTTACAGGCAGATCAAGCTAAAGGATGGCATGAAAGTTCTATACATTTTTCTTTCTGCTTGCAATCTTCCTTTGAAATTTTTGCCTAAAGGTGAAAGAAGTTTCTCCTTTCAGGTATGTGAAGGAGAAATCTGTTACTAGTAACGATCATTATAACAAATGGGATTACAAAATAGCCCCTTGTTTTCAGTTTTCTTTATTTTGATGGTTTTTCCTTCACACAAAATAAATGTAATAGGCACTTGGGGCTAATAATATTTTAAACAAATGCTAGACTCTTTCTTCTGTGAAATCCCAGCACTTCCAGATGGGCTACTTTTTATAATATCAGCAAACACAAAGTTATAAATGTATAAATTCTCCATGTTTTCAAGCTCCCCCACTGGCAAATCTTTAACTCCCTAAACTTCTATTATTTCCTATTTGCGCTTGCATATCTTGGATAGCATGAGTATTTTGGACATCTAGTCAGGGTAATGTTACAGTTGTACTGTGTTAAGTTGCTGTCAAGCCTTCTGAAATCTGTGCAGAACATCAACCAAGTCTGCCATCAGAACTGGGTAAGTAGGTATTTCCACTGGATGTTTTCTAATGAACACCATGTTCAGTAGTTAGAGTATAAATCTTTCCAATAAATACCTTAATACATGGTGCTCTTGTAACACAATTTCTCCTCTACTGGGTGAAGTGGAACAGTTTTTAAATCCACTGTAACACAACAGCTGTGCAGAAAACTGGGCAGTAGTGAGAGCAAACATTTTAAACTGTTGTTCAGGATTTCTGAAATAACCCACATTTTGTAACATAACATGAAGTGAATCAATGGCAGCTCTCATCCTCTGGGACAGTGTTCACTGTTAAAAAGCTGCCTCTATGTGCCTCCTCCTTTAATCCTCTGCAGTGCTCACCTGCCAGTCACATGCTAGTAATACAGGGTGATTTAATGTTTGCAGTTGAGAGAATCCTGTTCAAGTACCGCATCCACCAGGTTCACCAGGGCCTGGACAACCTCATCAACTCCTCCTGGTTTACCTATGCTAGACAAAGCTCTTGTGCAGAGTAAGGTCTGTCTTCAGTTTTGCTGCTTTCCCTATGATGAGAGATGGTGACTGCAGCAGCTACTGAATATTTCTGTGGTTTGCATATTTGCAAGTGCAAGAAAAAGCATTTTCCTGATGGAGGTGCTTTTCCTGCCCAAACAGCCATTCTTCATGATCTCCAGGGAAAATGTGTGAGCTGATTTGAAGCTCCTGCTGGCTAGCTTCAGCTGCATCATGCTATTTAATAGAATGTGTCCCGTAAAATCTGTTTCCATTGTAGTATATTCTATATGTATGACACCCCAAATTAATTAGAAAATAGCCAGTGGAGAAATCTACTCTTCCAATTTCGATTACAGAATCAGTTAATGTTCTGTGTACATTTCAAAATGCTTGACACTCTTCCAGTGTTCCTTCCCAGTGTTAGGAGTTCATGTCATAAGGAGGAGTCTGCATTGATACCAATACTGATACCAATACAAATAGCAATAGATTTCTTTGAGTAGATATTTAGACACATTGAGAAGCAGGCTTATAATTAACCAAGACAGTAATGAATGACAACCTCAAAAGTGGCTCTGCATGTCTACCCCACCAGCAGGACCACAATGAAAGCTGTTCCTGCAGGCTGTGTTTCAGCTGTGAAGGCTTAAGTATGAATACAGTCTGCAGAATTCTCATAAAAGAGTAATTTTTCAGAAGACATTGTTTTCAAAACCTTCTTTTATATATCATGGCCTCCTCAGTTACCTTGCTATTTACAGTATTATATATTGCAAGGTGTTATGAGCTGACATGCTTTTCTGTGTCTGCACGGTGCTATGTGCAGGACCTTTTGATCACTGCTTCACTTAATTATGAAATGTTCAGAAGAGGAATGATTTTCTTCAAGGCAGTATATATTATAGTGCAAATACCAAAACTGGAAGATTGTCATGATTGATTTTTTGGTCACAGCAGTGTGCTACAAGGGCTGCATAGATTTTCCAAATGTTTATTCATATTTATATTGCAATTTTAATCCACAGAAGATCAGGTTTTATTTATCAATCCATGCAATTGCCTAAGTGATATAGCTGAAAAGAATTTCATTCTGAGGAGCAAAATTGTACATCACAACAGGGAAAAACTGCATTTATATGTGTGTGTGTATATGGGGTATTCATATGCAGTAAGTGAAGTAGAATTCTTGGCTTTAGGAACTTAGAGCTAGAAGATTAAATGAAGTAGTAACTAGTAACAGTGCACAAAAATGATGAAAAATAAACTCCATGAGACATAAGTTGTCTTCAGCAGACTTGATGATATGTAAAGAAGACGCTGGCAGAGCAACCAAGGTTTTCTTTAAGTCTTTGTGGGATTTCATAGCCTATTTACTGTGGTTTATTAAGAGTTTATTTTGAAAAAAAAAAAGACATAAAATAGATCTGAAAACAGTGGATTCAAATTTACTGTGATAAAATTAATCTCATTATAAATTTAAAAAAAAAAGCCAATTTCTTCTCTTTGTAATACATGTTTAATTCTGTCAGTGTTAATTGTTGAAAAATTTCATTCCTGTAGATGATGACAGAAGTTGACCTAGCAGGCTTGCTAATTCCTTTTAAATGATTGCAGTGTAATGTTTGTGGTTTGGACTCTGTTTTCTATTTGTTATCATCAAGACACGTTTTTTCACATGTTCCATTGTCCACTATACCAGTAAGAGTTACAAGTACATACATTTCCCACTTATTTCTAAGAAATAAACCTATATATTTACAACACACCACTGTGAAAAAGGATGCATGTATCAGATTGTACAATCATAGTTTACAGTCTTCATGTATGTAAAATCTTGAAGGTGAAAATTACAAGT